GGGCTATGTATGGTTGTGGTATTGAAACTGTTTTGAGGAAATATTATGGCATATGGGCACATATTGTGAAAGTCATTTTATTGTGTTGTTATATTTTGGCACACGTGGTATTGTTGAGAGGATTGTCAGGGTGTTCACATGTGAGTTGTCCGTGCTGTTGTTGTTATTGATATTTTCACATGTGGTATGACAAGGCCGGCTATATATGTTGCCCATGGGCATATGGCGAGACAAGGTGGGAATATTATTATGCAAGTGCAGCGAGACAAGGTAGGCATTTGCTTTATTATTACGTACGTGGCGAGACATGGTGGGCTATGTCGAGAAATGATTTGTGATGACTTGTGATGGCCTGGGGGCATTGTTATTATTAATGCTTGTGTAATGGTGTGCCTACCTTGTGTGAGTTATACCTTGTACATTTTGTGGTGATCATTTCTTATGTGTCATTCATTGTCCCTACTCTTACTTGTTGACTTGAATTGTGATAGAACACTTGCACAAGCATACACGTAATTAATCAACCATATCAGTTTAAGAGGATGAATCCTAATGTTATTAAACATTTACATGTACTCTCGTATACTTGCCTTCTGTGGGAGAGTTGTTCTATTGGCACGTGAGTTGTCCGTGTGGTCATGAGTCATTGTTATTGTTGGCACGTGAGTGGTCCGTGTGGATATTGGATATTGTCACTCTCTTCGCACATGAGTCATTCATGCAGTTATGAATTGTAATGTGGGCACAAAATGCCACGTGATTAGGGTTCATAATTAGGACCCGTGATTTGTGATTATGAGGTTTGGTAACTCGTGGAAATTCTTGAATAAACCTGGTGTGAAAGCGGTTGTTCTCATTGAGATTTTACTTGTATTCCTTTATTTGGTTTCACCGGACTTAAACTGTGTTCATCTTACTCTATAGCGTTAGTTTCCTATTACAAGCACTATTTTGTTATTGTTATCATGCTTAGCTGTATATTGATATTGTCCCCTGCTATTTCACATTTATATTTGTTCAGGTTATTTAGTCCAGTAGGTGTATTGACTGTCCCTTGTCACTACTCCACCGAGGTTAGTTTTGATACTTACTGGATACCGCGGTGGTGTACTCATGTTACGCTTTCTGCACATTTTTGTTCAGATGCGAATATTTGTTGATCATTAGCTAACTGATCGAGGATTGTTATGAAGACTCAAGGTATACCTGTTGTTATGTTTGCAGGCCTCGGAGTCACCTTATAAAATTTTACCTTGTACTGTTTATTCTATTTCAGAAGAGTTGTACTTAGGGATTTTCTAGCAAACGCAGTAGAGCTTATGACTTGTACCACTAGTTTTGGAATTGTTGGCTTGTAAGGAAATTTCCATTTCGAACTTTATAGTTGTTGGTTAATTCTGTAAGTGTTAGGCTTACCTAGTCCTAAATACTAGTGTCGTCATGATATCCTACGGAGGAAAATCGGGGTCGTGACATCACTACATTGAAAGTACTTAAGAAGTTCAAGTATTTGGATTTCAAGATTGCCAAGACTCCAATTGACGTGAGTCATGCACTTCAAAATAATAAAGTTGAAAATGACTCACAACTGGACTATGCAAGAGTATTGGGAAGTTTGATATATATCATGAATTATACGCGACCAGATATAGCATGTGCTATTAGCAAACTGAGTCGATTTACAAGTAATCCCAATCAAATACATTGGATGGCAATGAAACGAGTTTTGGGGTAATCTGAAACATACCCAAGACTATGCTCTGCATTATAACAAATATCCCTCCGTGATTGAGGGATATAATGATACAAATTGGATAACCGGATCATCTGAAGTTAAATCCACGAGTGGATATATTTTCACAATTGGGGGTGGAGTAGTGTCTTGGAAATCATCCAAATAAATGTGCAACGCCCATTCTACAATGGAATCTGAATTCATACCTTTAGACAAGGTCGGTGAAGAAGCTGAATGGCTTTCAAATTTCTTAGAAGATATTCCATTTTGGCCTAAACCTTTGGCACCTATTTGTATACATTATGATAGTCAAGTAACAATAGGTAGGGCAGGGAGCGTTATGTATAACAAAAATCTCGTCACATACGGCGGAGACACAATACCATTAGACAACTACTCTCTATGGTGTTATCACGATTGACTACGTGAAGTCAAGAGATAAGATGTCGGATCCACTTACAAAAGGCCTATCTAGAGAGGCAGTTGAAAGATCATCGAAGGGAATGAGGTTAAGGCCTAGGACAAGTCATCATGGCGGTAATTCTACCTAGCAGACTGGAGATCCAAAGAGCTTGGTTCAAAGAGATCAAACAAAGTTATGAATGATGATTCAATACTGTCAAATAACTGAACCCATTCTTGTGATGAAGATAATGCTCAGAAATCAGGGTAAAACATTAAGGCTTTTTGATGAGTCAGTAAAGCTTAAAGTTTCTTAATAATTTGCTATGTTTGGCAGGAAATGACCAGATAGTGTGTCTATATACTACACATTTAGAAACTACCTATGTGAGTGTGAAGTGTAAGCCTCTTCAAGGGGAATGAAAGTAAAGGCCCGTTCTCTAAGCACTCATGAAACCAAGCGGTGTTCATGGCCAAAACCAATACAACCGTGAGAACCATAGATGATTAAGGGTTGATTATGTGACTTATGTTGTCTAGGTATACAACAAAGCTCGACGGTTCAAAGATATCAAATCTACCCATTGACCGAGTATATCCGTGCATTCCTTTGTCTTATAGCCATTCCTTATTCATGTGGGGGATTGTTGAGATTGAAGGTTGATGAATGGGAAATGGAGGAAAGAAATGTGAAGGAAAAGTGAGTTCCCTTATGCTTTGGAAAACAGAAATTGTCCCTCATTGGTGATGGAAAGGAAAGGGAATGTGGTTATATCAAGAAAGCACTTCTCTTGGTGTTAAACGGGTTGAAAAGAAGGTAAGTCTCGTTCCCTCGTCGCCGTCGCTTGCTCGGCTCGGCCCGGCTTTGGCGTCAGCTTCGGCATCGGATTTGGTCAAAGATCGATTGATTGACTAATCTTTTTGGACAAAATTTATTTCAATTATGTAATTAATTAATTTAATTAATTATCGAATAGTCAACCTGAAATAACCTAGGACCCGCGCGCGAATAACTCAACTATTCTCGTGATGAAGACAATGTTCAGAAATCAAGGTAAAGCATTAAGGCTATTTTATGAGTCAATAAAGCTTAAAGCTTCTTAATGATTTGCTAAACCTGGCAGGAAATAACCAGATAGTGTGTCTATAGGACTATACGTTTAGAAATCACCTATGTGAGTGTAAAGTGCAAGATGTTTCAAGGGGAATGAAAGTAAAGGCCCATTCTCTAAGCACTCATGAAACCAGACGGTGTTCATGGCTGAAATGAACACAACCGTGAGAATCATAGATGGTTAAGGGTTGATTGTATGACTTATGTTGTCTAGGTATACAACAAAGCTCGATGGTTCACAGATATCAAATCTATAGATTGACCGAGTATATCCGATATAAGTTCACTACGGAAAGTTCAAAGGGAAACCTACTTATCCAGATGCAATTAATCTTTGCTTGTAAATCACACACTCGTCCGTGCATTCCTTTGTCTTATAGCCATTTCTCATTCATGTGGGGACTGTTGGGATTGAAGATTGGTCAATGGGAAATGGAGGGAAGAAATGTGAAGGGAAAGTGAGTTCCCTCATGCTTTGGAAAGAACAATTGTCCATCGTTGATGATGAAAACAAAAGGAAATGTGCTTATATTAAGAAAGCACTTCTCTTGGTGTTAAATGGGTTGGAAAGAAGGCAAGCCTCGCGCCGTCATCGTCATCGCTCGCTCGGCTCGGCTTCGGCTTTGAATTTGGTCAAAGAATAATTGATTAATCTTTTTGGACTTTTTTTCAATTATTTAATTAATTATCGGAAAGTCAAACCGGAATAGTCCAGGACTCGTGCGCGACGCGACCCGGACCTTTTTTTTCTCGAATTATTTTAATTTTTTTCCGGAATATTTTAAACGTTCCCGCCTGTTCCAACAACCATGACTGTTTCTGAAAGGTTGCAAATTTTCAGAAACAGTGCCAAAAAATGGCTATAAATTCGCCTTGATCCCATAATTTTTTCTTACGAAATTTTCTGAATTTCTTCTCCTTCTTCTGCACAAATAAATTCCAGTGTGATTTACAACCATTAAGTGATTCGTAGTTCACCGAAGTTTATATACCTATACACTAGTGAGTTAAATTATTCTATCGTGGGAGGATAATATTTCAACACCTCTGTTTTGATTATTTCGAGATTTTGCTTTTCTGTTGATTTTCTGTTTCTATTTTCTGTTACAGAAAATTTACTATTTCATAATATTATAATTAATACATAATATTATAGTTAATACAGATTGATAACACTGCCTCTAAACTATTGTTGGCAAGCGTAAAGGATTGGAGAGGATATTGGCAAATTCTTTATTCGCTGTACGTTTATTTTTCTTTTATAATTATTTGGACCGTAAAAATTAATGACAACGAGCAGTGGTGAGATATCGAAAGGATCTCTGTTGAGTAATCAATATCTTTTTATCACCTTAAACTTTTAGATAAAATTAATAGTTCACACAGTTAAACAATAATTTAGTTCAGAACCATCCATGAACAAAAAATTTCTTTTTTATGTATCACCAGGTGTTCGGCAATCTTATTCTTGTTTTGTTAATGCAAATTTTCACCCTTGATCAGGAGTGTTGATCCAAGCTATAAGACCGAAGACGCAGTATGACAATCTTTTAAAAATAATTTTTAGAAAAATCATAGTGTCCAAATATTTTTGGCTATGATGGGATTTAAACCTGAAACCTCGTGATTTTTAACTCACATATTTGACCAGCTTGTAGTATGGCATCTATGCAGCTAAAAATTCCAAATTAGCAAAATACAAGTCATGAACACGAAAATGACGAAATTTTCAAAGGTAAATAAGTCAGAGTTCACATTACATTTTAAGTACATTAACTCATCAATAACAAGTACTATATATAAATAATGAACGTAACACTCTATTCACTACCTTAAAAGAAGAAAATAAAAAGGTCGTAACCAACAATATCATTGCTCCCTCTTGTTTTCATAATTACAAGGAAAGTATGAAACATATCTAAGTATTTGGTTAAAAGTAACAACTTATTTATATTGTTCGGACTTTCCACAAATATTGTTGTACCTAAATTGGATCCTCCAAAAACGCATTATTTTTGGAGGATCATACACATATTCAACGATATTTTTAAGAGTCCGAGCAACATAAATTTTTATTCCTCCATCTTCTTCAGTACCTCAATCTTAACTTATTCATACAACAACCCCCACCCAAATTGTTCATGTCAATGTTTAACCTAATAACATTAATTTCTTTTTCTTACAACTTCCTCATTCTTTGCTTGCATTATTTGAAGTTACATTTAAAATAGATGAATTATCATCTTGGTACGAAATGAAAGGAGGGTTGTAATAATCAATAAAATTTGGGGTTTTTATAATAGGATTATTATCTTGCCTAATTAAAGATATTCTTGATCCACATTGTCTAGGCTGTGTTTGGTAAAAAACTTTAGAAACCACTAATTCACCTTCTTTTTCCTCCTCATTATCACCTAAGTGATATTGATGCATTACCCAATTGGTTTTTTCTGGTTTTCTTTGCCTTCCATAATTTGTGTAAAGTACTAAAATCTTTTTATAACCTTTTAAAACTCCACTTATAAAAACTGGTCTTGTTTTTCCAGTTTTATGCCATCTTGTTTCACCATCTTCAGTATTTGTATGAATTTTTCTCCTTTTTCTACTTCCTGTTGTGTATGCTCTTGAAGGCCTGTGAAAAAAATGACGGATTTGACCTTCTTTATTCACTCCTACATAGGGTAAAAAAAAATAGGAAAGATGATTATATTAGTGTTTCTTGGAAGTAAAAAAAAAAAAGTGACTAGGGTAAATTTGAATTTAAGTAATGTATACTGACAGTGTAAAATATTTACATATGCAGTCAAGTCATACAAAAAGAATTTTGGGTAAACTTCAATGACAAGCATTAGTTAGTAACCTGAGACCTAACTACTATATATTTACGTAAGGTATAAAATTTTTTATATTGTCAGTGCATATAATTTAAATCGAACAAAATTTACTATTCAGACTATAAAATTGTGTCATGCAATTGCATGTCATGTAGGTCACTTATATATACATTAATAATGTTATATTTAATTTATATCGTCAATGTATAAAACATAAACTCATATAGCATATAATATTCAAAAAATTTACCACAATTCAAAAACATGTATAGACGAACTACTAGAAATTGTAGTCATTATATTGCTTTTTTTCTTCTTCTTGGATATATCTTTTTACCAAATAGCTAACTCGACTCCCTTAACCAAGTTTTTTCCACTTTTGGAACGTGGAAGAAATAACAAAATTCTCTCAATTTGGTTACAGTCAGTATGGCTATTTTCTGCTATAAAACTTCTTAATCAAATGACCAAAGTGCATAAAATCTGGTGGAATAAAATCCAGAATATAGGGGGAGAAGAAGAGATTAACAGATTTTCATGGCTAGACTTTTGAGAAAGAAAAGAAAAACAAAAAAGAAAATACTGAAACAAGTTAGCTAGTATGGCCAAATGGAAAAAAAGCACAAGTTCGCAAGCAAACCCATATTCTTACGTGGTGATTTCCTAAAATATTACTTGGTTATAGTACTTTGGCGGAGTCAAAATTTAAACTTTATTGGTTCTAAATTCTAGAATAGTAACATCACGTGTTAGTGACTGTATTCTAAATTTAATTTTTGTACATATTTTATGAACTTTTTTAATTTAAATACATTGTTCGAAGTTCGAAATAAAGTTACTCCGTACCTCACCTTCTAGCTACGCCAAGTTCCACAACAAAATTTTCACTGTATGCAGAGGCAGAGCCAAGATTTTAGCCTTATGAGTTTTGAATTTTAGAACGATGACTTCAAGTGTTAATGATTTGGTTCTAAATTAATATTTATACATATTTAATAAATTTCTTAACACAAATATAATGTTTGAGAAAAAGCTATGGCTATGGCTATAAAAGGAAAGAACAACAGTATGTAAAAGAGATTATGGCTAGCTAAATTAGGCAAACTTTTAACTTCAAACTAGTTAGTGAGACCCCACGAAATTATCACCACTTTTTACCCTATATTAAAAGAATTTAAGTTGTATTATTAACAATATGTATTTTCCAATTATCCATATAACTTCACCTGTTCTAGCAGCTTGTTAGTTTCTGGTATCAGATTACCAATTAATGTTTACTACATAAATATATCTAATTACCTTATCTTAACATGATAGTACAAATATCTTTTACACTATGAACTTAAACTCTATTAATACACAAGCACGACGGATAAGATATGTTTTTACCTTAAATGACAATAATCCGAATATAAATCCATAAAAAAAAAAAACGAATAAAATTAGGACAAGGAAAACATGAAGAATCTTCTCTTTTTGGTTTATTCTTTTCATTGACAGGTCGTAGAATTTCAATGTTTAAATTATTAAATTTAAGGAAATTACCTGGTAGTTTCTCTGGATGAGTGTAGCAAATTCCATTTTCTCCATCAATGGTTGGAATGAATTCGTTAATTAGAGGATGAAGTTTATTGGTATCTGAAAATACCTTTGCTTTTAAATGCTCAAGAATTTCTTGATCAGAAGGATCAAATTTCACTCCAGCTGGTAGACCAGGCAAATCATGTATTCCCCTCTAGTAATTCCAATTACATATGTAAATTAGCCGCTAATTAATAAATTAGTTCAAATACCAAAAACTACGTCACTTTAAAAAAAAAAAGGAAATGTAAAAAGTTTTACCCTCCGTTATACTTTAGAGCTATTTATATCAATCATTTTCTATTATGTCTGTCTTTAACAGATTGAGAGGATTCCACGTGTCAAAATACATAAATAAAATGTTCAAAAATATATCCATTTACTTTAGACCATAATTTAAAATTACCTCCAATATATTTCAGGTCGAAGCTTTATTAAGGTCAAGGTCACATAGTAGACAATTTGCTAGCAATAAGCGTATGAATACCCCAAAATGTAACAGAGAATAAGATTAAGATATTTTAAACAATAGTGGCCTTTTTCCCTAAAAGAAAAGGTCGTTGATTGCTACTAAAAACCTAACAAAAATTAAAAGAACTTCTATTTCCACGAAAATATCTATGGGCAAAAATTACTTTTAGCCGTCGGCCGAAATTATTTATATTCGGTAGCCACAAATGTGTATTATATATATATATATATATATATATATATATATATATATATATATATATATATATATATATATATATATATATAATGTTGAAAACAGCTATATATAGTATCATTTTTCCTATATATATTACTCTCTCCGTACAGTTTATGTGAACCTATTTCCTTTTTGGTCAGTTCAAAAAAATAATCTCTTTCTAAATTTGGAAACAATTTAGCTTAAACTTACAATTCTGCCAGTAATGAGAAACTTTTATAACCACATAAATACTCTGGGTCTCTTTTTGACTTGTTTAGGACCACAAATTTTAAAAGTCTTCATTTTTTTCTTAAACTTCGTGTCCAGTCAAACATGTTCACATAAATTAGAACGTAGGGAGTATATGTATATAGTAAAGATATGTATAGATATATCATGAATACCTGATCTTGAAGCTCTATGCTATGGCCACATGAAGGGCAAGTTATTGTTCCAAATTTTGAGATGATCACACTTTTTTCCTCTAATGGAGTTTGGATTAATTGGAGTGATTCTTGATCATTTGATTCATTGCACCATGTCATCTCTCTTGTAATATTGCTCTTATTCCCATTCACCTTATTCCTTCTCCAACTTCCTCTTCTTCCTCTCCTAACTGAAAAAGAAGAGAAAAAACACAAAAACAATGTAAAATTCATATAAAATACTATACAATAACGACATACTCAGTGTATTCCCACAATGTGAGATATGGGTACCCCTACCTTGTGGAGATAGAAAGACTGTTTCTGGAAGACCCTCGGCTCAAAAATTCACATTAGATAAAATGGAAAGAAAGGAAGAAGAAGGGAAAGGAGAATGAATTTATAAATATTTAAGCACGTTTTTTTGAGTTAAACCAAATCTAAAGTACAAAAATCTAGTAATTAATTGAAATATGCACTCTTACTTTTTTGGTTTCTTCACTTTTCTGTGATTGAAATGATCCAAGATTTCCTATGTTAAACCCTCAAAGAGAGAGAAAAGATAGAAGAAAATAAAGGAGAGGGGGTTAAGACTATTACCTTGCTTGTGTTATGTGAAAGGAACAACTTGAAAGAATATTTTCTACATAAAAAGGGGAAAAATTTATTGAAAATAGGTTGCTTAGACGTCAAGTTTAGTTTTGTTTATGTGTGTGTATATATACACATGTACCAGAATATATGCAGTTTAAGGTCCCATTTCTTACTATTCCATGATTCTTATAAGTATGCATTAACTTCTAAATATATTTACACCAACAATAGAATTTTATCCCATTATAATAGTAATTTTTTACGCGATCTGATAGTGTAAAAGCTTAAAATTTTAGATAGGTTGATCATAACACTACAACATGGTATTAAAGAAGACAAAGATCCCGGGTTTGAATCTCACCAACACCCAATTATTAAAAAAGATTTTTACGCAATTGAACGTCGCTTGAACCATGAAATAAAATTTCAAGTATGCACGTGAGAGTGTGTGTTAAAAGATAATTAATTAAATAAAAGTATATTTTCTCCACCAATTCAAAGTTTTAAATGAAATTGTCACACTTAAACAATCAATATACTCAATTTGTATTTATCCATCACTATTTTAAGAAAGTAAACAAAAGACGTTTCACCTCTTTTTTAGCCCACCATCCGCACAAGAGAAGAGGCCAAACTAGAGTGCTATTAAAGTTATATATGAAGAGGTTTGGCGTATATATATACGTACCAACAAATGTGAAAGTAACAAATGGTGAATTACAACCTAATCTCTATTTTTCTACTCTTTCGTTTCTTCGAACGGAATTCTCACCCGAGCCAAAGGCGAAGCCAAAATTTGAAGTTTATAAGTTCGGAATTTTAATTTTTTAAAGTTACTAGGTTCTAAATTAATAATTTATACGTATTTAATGAATTTTTTAAAATGAATACACGGTCTAGAGCAAAGCTAATGAGTTCGATCGAACCCGTAGCCGAAAGGCTAACTCCGCCCCAGATCCGAACCATAGCCTTAACTTATTTAAAACTTGCCTATACTTGGTATTTCTAAAACTACGTAAGTTTATCGTGCAAGTGATAAATACTGTAATTAAGATAAAATAACATCGTCTTAATTATGTCCACTTAATCAATAAGTGATGATTTGTAGATACTACTTATCTCTCATATGTCCACTTACCCTGAATTATCACATGTGGTTAGAAAAATTCATGTCAAACCAATTAGTCCTAACACATTGCGTCAAAAATGAATTAATCTTACAGCTTGTTGATAATTATACCCTTGTAACTCTCATATATATTGCACACCATCCTACGTACATAATCAAGAGAAATGATCATTATTTTTGGCTCGAATTGTTTACACAGACAAAAACAAAATTTAAAATGTATACCAATAATAATAAGACTCTACAAATTTTGAATTTATTACGTTTGGTGGCAGTTGACAATACAAATTAAAATTCTTGGTTTCCACATTAAAAAACCTTGTACCGTCCGACATGTTTAGGATATTGTTTATAAGTTGACTGTTCAAATTGGTGTTGTTATTTACTCCAAATAATGAAACGAATTAGCTTATTCGACCATATTCGAATTGTACTGTTTAAATGGCTAAAAGAGTAAACGTTCACGGTATTAGTCAGAAATCTGACCACCCCGACCGAGGCGACCATGACCCTGTTTCAGTTACCGTATGAAAGAAGTCAACGGAATCATTTTGACTTCATCACCGCGACATTCTCCACAAATGACGAGGGTACGCCCCTCACCCCGACCAGTAGGCTTCCACAATTCTGACAAGAAGTTATGGCTAAGGAAAAAACAAGTTTCTTTCGACTATAAATATGAAGTGAAGGGAACCCAGAAGGGAGGGACTTCTCACCGACTTCTTCTCCAAAAACTCCAATAAGTCAGATGGGAGATAACAGAACTCCACGAGAAGCAAAAGGAAGCTTCATCTAGAGGGGAAGAGAGAGAAACACAATGATTGCAATTCCTTTCCCCTCCAAGGAGGGGCAGGGCAAAGCTTCATCATAAATAAAACATTTTCGATGCTTCCTCCATTTTTGTATTTAAATGCCATTTCTTTATCTTTAGATCCGATACGAATTATGATTGACTATGATTTACCCCTACATCTCTTTGATTGATTTGCTTAAAAAGAGCTTAACATCTTTTGAGTCAAACAATTTGGCGCCGTCTGTGGGGATTTCCTAGTGAAAACGCCTAGTTCTCTTTTCGGATCGAAGCCAAAGAAACGCGAGAAGAGCTTCCAGCTCACATCAGATTTGAAGGCAGCGCGTGGAGAAAAGGAAAATCGAACAAGCCAGTGAGGACTAGAATTTCCTACCCTTTCAGCCCCAAACACTCCGAACAAGGCTAAAGGTGCCGCAATCAAAACCACCGGGCAGGGATAAGGAATATCTCATCCTCATCTCCCATAGTTCACCAAATCGGACACCGGTGCAGGGATTCCCCGGTCGAAGAACCAAAGATCATCTTAGCACAGCCGAAACCCTCCCGGTTGATGGCGTCTTCAAAATAAACAGCCAGCCGTGCGAGAAGCTGTTACACGCGTACCACGCAGGTCCGAACGAAATGTCAGCACCTGGTGTCCGCAGCGCTGAAACCATCGATGCGAGCAATGCCTGCCAAACTAGGACTAAGGCCAAGGGCCTTCGCCATCAAAGATTCAGATGTTCGACCTTGCTCGAACTCGAGACGGGCTGTTATTTCGATAAGTTCGAAATAACACCCTTAAGGCTAAGGCTTTCACCATCAAAGATTGACAAGTTCGACCTCGTTTGAACTAGGACTTAAGTCTAAGGGCCTTAGCCATCAAAGATCGACATGTTCGACCTCGTTCGAACTCAGACGGGCTGTTATTTCGATAAATTCGAAATAACACCCTTAAGGCCAAAGGCCTTCGCCATCAAAGATCCAAAGGTTCGACCTCGCTCGAACTCAACACGGGTCGTTATTTCGATAAGTTCGAAATAACACCCTTAAGGCCAAAGGCCTTCGCCATCAAAGATCCAAAGGTTCGACCTCGCTCGAACTCAACACGGGTCGTTATTTCGATAAGTTCGAAATAACACCCTTAAGGCCAAAGGC